GACTCTGATGGGATTTAAGGAGTAGCTTTGGGGCTATCATGTTGCAGAGTTCAAAGTGTCGTGTACCTGTGTGTCCTGCTGTTAACTCTTGCCTTGAGTCCTTGCATCCAGAATCGTGTTTCCGTGATCGTGCTGACTACCTTGCCTGGCTTGGAACCGTGAGTCTTGTCTCCTGCCCTGACCTTGGACCGTCTTGACTATTCTTCAATTCTGCCTGTCTCCTGCGTGGACTTCGGACCGTTCCTCATACTGCTTTTTGTGTTGTGATTTTTGAACTGACTGTATTCCATTCTAACCACGAACTGTTTTGCCTGCCTTACTTCAGTTTCCTTTTTTGCTGCCCAGACTGCCTGGGTTGCTGTTTGTTTACATTCCTGCAAGCCGCAGGCTCTTTTGTTTACATGCTCTGCTGATAAGAGCCATTTGACTTGTTAATTGCCATTAAACACCTTTTGTTAACCCTTAAGCGGCTGTTTCGCCTCGTTGGTCTGCCTGGGTCTTGACAGAAGGTTATTTATTATTTTACTCTGTTGTTAGTATTATTTTATTATATTTATGTTATTACTCTATTACTATTTTTATTAAATTTATTATTCACTCTATTATTATTGATATTATTACATTTACATTATTTTACTCTATTATTTTTATTACATTTATTATTTTACTCTATTTATTAAATTTATTATTTTACTCTATTTATTATAGCTATTAAATTTATTATTTTGCTCTCTTTATTGTTATTGGAAGGATACGTAAGCACATTTACATTGAAGGATAATGGTTTCGTCAGAGCTGGACAGTCTTACATTACAGTGTTATGTAAATATTCAAAAACATTTAAATTACTGGTACCTCAATTAATGTAATTTTATTATTATCTAGTTTTATTTTTAAATTGATCAGTAGTGGCTAAATTTCCTACCCTCAGCTTATATTCGAGTCAATACAGTTTTTTGTGGTAAAATTAGGTGCCTCGGCTTATATTCGGGTCGGCTTATACTCAAGTATATACGGTATATAATATGCAATGTTTGTTTGTGGGATTAACATAACTAAAAAACCACTGGATGAATTGACACCAAATTTGGACACAAGACACCTAACAGTCCAACGAGTGTTCATCACCCCTAAAAACACACAAAAAAGCCCCAGCTACACCATATATACATATATGCATACACTCATATACATATACACGCACACATACGTACACACATATATATACACAAGCACACGCAAATATATGCACACATACATATACATACACACATATATACATATACACATACATACATATATACATACAAATATGCATATAGAAAAGCACAGACATATACACACTACATATACACATATAAACACACAAATATACACACATATGCACACACATATATACACCCACATATATATACACAAACACACATATATACACAAATATATACACACACAAAACACATATACACAGACTGGGCCACAGCAACGCATGGCAGGGGATGGCTAGTAGAGTATAAGTGTATCTACATATCTATCACATTATCCTAGAGTTGGAAGAGACCCCAAGGACCATCTAGACCACCCTTCAAAGCCTTCCAGATGGCCATCCACTTTCTGCTTAATGCCATGTTTGGCACTCATGTATGTACATACCAACTGACTCGTTGGGGGCCAAGGAAGGATTCTCTGCTGGATCTTCGAGCTCGTTGCTCACTGTGGCCACTGGTCCTGAGGAAAAGTAAAGGCTGTATTAAGTGATGGAAGGCATGTGAGGAAGGGAGCCCATGAACAACATTGTCATTCCAACCATCCAAAGCAACCTGATCATTACACACAATGCCAGGCTGGCATACTACAATCAACCACAAAATTGTGTTGGGACAGGTGTGGAAAAATTGGCTCCTATACGCATAGGTGGTGGGAATGAAACAAAGTACAAAGTTTTTATAACAAGGTAAAGACACAGGTGGGAGAGAAAGACAGAACTGGCAATGTTAAGAAAATAAAGATAACAACAGTGACTGATTTTGAGATTATTCTACCTGTGTTGACATTACTGCTGGCGGGCATCCCCCAGGCCTCGGGGCTCCACTCGCTCCAGCTGCCGGCGTCCAAGAAGTCCCTGGCGCTGACCTGCACCACGTGGACCAGCCCGGCCACCACGTCCGTGATCACCTTGGACAGGTTGCCCGTCTCCACCTGAGAAATTCAGGGGACACAAAGTGTGTTATGCAGCACGTGTTTTCATCCAGCGTCCTAATGCCCAAAAACCCAGATGCAAAATAGCCTCAGACCAATAGTCAAGGTAAACAGAAAATCTTTACTCTCTTCACTTTGCTGAGATGAAACAAAACTGGCAATGCTGCACACAAAAATCAGCAGTGCAACATAATCAAAGAACAATACATGAGCTTGAGTTCATGGTAAAATCCCCAAGACTTAAAGCAAAACTTGACCAGGACATGGCTTGTAGCGAGGAACAAGGCAGGAGTTTCTTACTCTATCTGCTACGTTGCTTGATCAGAGAACCGAAAGCTATTCTTTCCCAAATTAAGGACAGCAATGCATGAAAGCATTCCTTTGACCTTGGGTAGTCTCTCTCACATCATGAGGAGACATCATGAGGAGACAGGAAAGCCTAGAGAAGACAATTATGCTGGGGAAAGTGGAAGGTAAAAGGAAGAGGGGCCAACCAAGGGCAAGATGGATGGATGGCATCCTTGAAGTGACTGGACTGACCTTGAAGGAGCTGGGGGTGGTGACGGCTGACATGGAGCTCTGGCGTGGGCTGGTCCATGAGGTCACGAAGAGTCGGAGACAACTGAACGGGTGAAGAACAACAACAAGTCTCTCTCGGTCTCACTTTCCCATAGGCTGGCTTGCACTTGGAATTCTTTCCCCAGCAGAAGCAGCCTTGATTCTCTATCTAACCTCCGTTCCTCCCTTCTCTGTCTGTCAGCTTGTAAAAGAGGTATGTTTTCACACGAAGAATCCCCCAAATCCCCCTCCATTATCCCAACCAGGGAATCACCATCCTGTTCCAACATCCCCTATGTCTGAGCACCTCCAGAAGTGTCAGGCCCTGTAGGCCCTGCACCCCCAAACCCCTCTTCATCATCCTCAGCTGGCTGAACTACACCAAACCTATCATCCTCAGCTGGCTGAGCAACGACATAGATGCAGCCCAAGGTTTTCTTTTCCATCACTGGAAGCTGGTGTTCAAACGCTTTTGAAGGAATTCTAAGTAATCAGCTGTAAGGCACACCAAAGAGTACCTTTTTGCAACTGTGCATTACATTCTCCAGCAAATACTTTTCTTGGTATCAAGGTTTTGAAAATTTGATCATGCATTATACTTGAATCAATAACAGCTAAGTTCCATGGTTGGCTAGACTACTTCCAAAGTGCAGGCCCAGATGGGCGTATTAAAAGACTAACGCATTAACCGACAGTCTATGCAATTATTACTCACCACCGACCAGGAGCTGTAGACGATGGGCCGATACTGGATGCGGAACTGAAGCTGGAAGGAGGGCTTCTTGGGCCAGCTGGATGGATATTCCCAGCTGACCAGCAGTTGCTGGGGGGCAAAGGGCACCGGATCCACCCGAAGGCCCTCAGGAGGGTCCGGCTTGACTGTGGGGGAGACAAGGAACAAGGTTAGCAGGCTAGATGTTGAGAGGGGCCTCCTGGAGGTCCCATGCTCCTCAAAGGAGAACTTGAGGAGTAGCACAGGCACTGATATTTGGAGGGGGTCCCTCCCCAAACCAGGTAGCCACAATGCATCCGAAAGTGATGCCCTCTGCTCTTCCGAGGGCCAGGACTCACTGATGGCGTGAAGGGTGACGTCCAGGAGGCGGAAGCTGGCACCCAGTGGGTTGACCTCCGTCACGTTCATGCGGTAGGTGCTCCAGAACTCGGACTTGCTGACCAAACAGGAGAATGGGCGGGAGGGGTCCTGGACACACGGCCTCACGTCACCCGATGGGGAGCTGCTCCAGCCAAAAGGAAAAATGAGGAGATGTCATTGATCAGTCTCTAAAGCCTTAGGAGTGACCATGTCATCAAAGGACTGTGGACAACAAGCTGTTAATGACAACCATCTAGGTCAGGGAGGGGCAAACTTCAGGCCTCCAGGTGCTTTGGACTTCAACTCCCACAATTCCTAACAGCCTACTACAGTTCCCAGAAGCGCCCTGCCTGCAAATGCAGCATTCGCAGGCTGGGGGCTTCTGGGAATTGTAGTAGGCTGTTAGGAATTGTGGGAGTTGAAGTCCAAAGCTCCTGGAGGCCTGAAGTTTGCCCCTGCCTGATCTGGGTGATTTCGATCTTGAGCATCTCACTTTTCTAGATTGATGGCCAGATAAGTGCAGCAGAAAACTCACAGCTGGAATTTGCATCCTAGGAGTAAAAAGGAGGAAGGATAATCCCTGGGAAAGTTGGGTGGCTTTATTTGTTAATGAATGGGAATTAAGTCCATGCAAATCACTGAACTGCTTGCAATGAAATACACAGTGTGTTGCATTCCAGGTCAGGAAAAAGCCCTCTGACTTTAAAACACGCCACATGAAGAGTGAAGAAACAAATCTTCTTTTATTGAAGCTTAGCAAATAGCCAGAAGAAATAAATGCTTGTAAGAAAATACAGAAGTTCCAAAAAGTAAGAGGTCGTGCCATTACTGCTCAAGCAGGGAGCTTTGAGACGGTAGAACAGAAGCTCTCCAAAGCTCTAGGTGCCCTTACTGCCTATTACAGGGAAAACCAGCTGATCCCTAATCCATCTAAAACACAGACATGTGCTTTTCACCTCAAGAACAGACAAGCATCCCGAGCTCTGAGGATTATTACTTGGGAAGGAATCCCACTGGAGCATTGCAGCACACCCAAATACCTGGGAGTCACTCTGGACCGTGCTCTGACCTACAAGAAGCACTGCCTGAACATCAAGCAAAAAGTGGGTGCTAGAAACAATATCATACGAAAGCTGACTGGCACAACCTGGGGATCACAACCAGACACAGTGAAGACATCTGTCCTTGTGCTATGCTACTCTGCTGCTGAGTATGCATGCCCAGTGTGGAACACATCTCACCACGCTAAAACAGTGGATGTGGCTCTTAATGAGACATGCCGCATTATCACGGGGTGTCTGTGCCCTACACCACTGGAGAAATTACACTGCTTAGCTGGTATTGCACCACCTGACATCCGCCGGGAAGTTGCAGCCAATAGTGAAAGGACCAAGGCAGAGACATCTCCAGCCCATCCGCTGTTTGGGTATCAGCCAGCACGCCAACGACTTAAATCAAGAAATAGTTTTCTAAGATCTACAGAGACACTCGCTGGAACACCTCAGCAAGCGAGAGTCCAAAAGTGGCAGGCTCAAACCCAGAACCTCAACCAATGGCTGATACCCAATGAGAGACTCCCCCCTGGGCACACAGAAGACTGGGCGACTTGGAAGGCACTGAACAGACTGCGTTCTGGAACCACGAGATGCAGAGCCAACCTTCAGAAATGGGGCTACAAAGTGGAATCCTCGACATGCGAGTGTGGAGAGGAGCAAACCACTGACCACCTGCTGCAATGCAACCTGAGCCCTGCCACATGCACAATGGAGGACCTTCTTGCAGCAACACCAGAGGCACTCCAAGAGGCCAGATACTGGTCAAAGGACATTTAATCAACTACCAAACTCACAAATTCTGTGTTTTGTCTGTTTGTTTGTTTTTGTTAAAAATGCAATACAAATGTCTGGTTGCTGATGACACGATAGATAAATAAATAAATAAATAAATCTATGCAAATGCCTCAAACCTCTCCTTTTAAGTTGGCAATGGTTAGTGTTTTGTGGCAGTGAGTTCCAGTTTCACAATGCAAAGAAGAGAAACCTCAGATGGAGGGAGCCAGATGAAGGATTATTGTTTTGCTTCTACAGAGACTACGACACAATGGATTCCCCCCCTACTCAAAAGGGCACCCCTTCCCAGACCATCTTCTCTTTATTAATATTTATTTATTTATTTACTATTCTTGTATACCGCTGTATCTCAAGCCCGAGGGCGACTCACAGCGGTTTCCAAACAGCAAAGACAATAAAAACAGCAATAATCAATATACAAAACAGTTAAATTACACAGTTCCATTAATAACCAATAAGCAATCAACAATACACAATTATCACAAATCCCATCCCCCTGATCGCCTCATCATCCAAACGTGATCCAAATTCGTCGTCATTGTTCCGTTCCTATGTTCACATTACCACACTTGCACTGAATTACTCAAACGCCTGCACAAACATCCAGGTCTTCACCTTTTTGCGGAATACCATTAGAGATGGTGCTAGTCTAATGTCCGAAGGAAGGGCGTTCCACAGCCGAGGAGCCACCACCGAGAAGGCCCTATCTCTCGTCCCCGCCAACCGTGCTTGAGAGGCTGGCGGGATCGAGAGCAGGGCCTCCCCGGAAGATCTCAAAGTCCGGGTGGGTTCATAGGCCGAGATGCGGTCAGCTAGGTATCTTGGGCCGGAACCGTTTAGGGCTTTATAGGCCAGTACCAACACCTTGAATTGGGCCCGGTAGCAAATCGGCAGCCAGTGGAGCTGGTGCAACAGGGGGGTTGTGTGCTCCCTGCGCTCCGCTCCTGTTAGAATCATGGCTGCCACGCGTTGGACTAGTTGCAATTTCCGGGCCGTCTTCAAGGGCAGCCCCACGTAGAGAGCGTTGCAGTAGTCTAGGCGGGATGTGACAAGAGCGTGGACTACCGTGGCCAAGTCAGACTTCCCAAGGTACGGGCGCAGCTGGCGCACGAGCCTGAGCTGTGCAAATGCTCCCCTGGTCACCGCCGAGACCTGGGGCTCCAGGCTCAGCGATGAATCCAGGGTCACACCCAAGCTGCGAACCTGTGTCTTCAGAGGGAGTGCGACCCCATCCAACACAGGCTGTAACCCTATACCCTGTTCGGCCTTGCGACTGACCAGGAGTACCTCTGTCTTGTCTGGATTCAACTTCAATTTGTTCGCCCTCATCCAGACCGTCACAGCAGCCAGGCACCGGTTCAGGACCTGGACAGCCTCCTTAGTAGCAGGTGGAAAGGAGTGACAGAGTTGGACATCATCTGCGTACAGGTGACACCGTACCCAAGTATCCTTGCATCCTGCACAGAGCAGGTCCTGGCAGAGGAGACTCCTGCTCTGGAGTGTTGCTGCTCCTGGCTCAAGGCCAGCATGGGTTCACATTCCTTGAAGTTTACACACGGGTCGTCATTGCAAGGAGTCAGAGAAAGGAAATAAGGGCATGCAATGGTGGAAGGCAACAGGATTGTGTGGGAGGCAGGAGAGGGAGTGCAACAGAGAAAGGCAGGCATTTGGCTTCCTTCCCACCTTCCGACTACAAGGGGCACGGCCTTCCTGTGATGAAGGAGAGAAGTGGCCAGGAGGAAAGTCCACTGAAGTTGGGGCTACTTCACCTTCAGGGACAGAAAGGGAGGACACTTAGGCAGAGATTGCAAACAGAGAAAGGGTTGCAAAGAGAGAAAAGGGATTGCAAAGAGATAGAAAAGGGATTGCAAAGAGATAGAAAAGGGATTGCAAAGAGATGGGAAAGGATTGCAAATAGATAGAGAAAGGCTTTACTCTTTGCAAAACTGGGCTTTACAGGCCAATGGAGACTCCACCTCAGACATCAGAAGAGCTGCAAGACAACCGAGAAGAAGCCACGAGAGTCAAGACCAAGATCCACCCAGAGGAAAAGTGTTCTTGCCAGACATCAAGGGAACCACTGACCGCAGAGGGAAGCTGATGAGAAACACAACATACAAACTATCTACAGACCCACCAAGAAAATCCAACCAATGCTCCGTTCAGCAAAGGACAAGAGGGATCCTCTCATCTCTGCAGGAGTCTACCATTGTATACCATGCAGCTGTGGACAAGTCTACATAGGGACCACCACACGCAGCAGCATTGCCCAGACACACAACAAGGAACATGAAAGGCACTGCAGAGAAGTCAGCCATAGCAGAGCACCTGATGAACCAGCCTGGACACAGCACATTATTTGAGAACACAGAAATGCTGGACCACTCCAACAACCACCATGTCAGACCACACAGAGAAGCCATTGAAATCCACAAGAAGCAGGTAGACGATTTCAACAGAAAGGAGGAAACCAGGTAAATGAATAAAATCTGGCTACCAGTATTAAAAAAAAACCTCTAAAATTACAACAGCAAAACAACAGAGGGAAAACAATCAGGGACATCTAATCACCTCTCAACAAAAGATTGCCCCAGGCACTGCCAGGCCATCAAATGCTAATCAAGGTGATCAGTTGAAACATTCACACCTAGCTCCAGCAGACAAGAGTTCTTTGTCCCACCCTGGTCATTCCACAGATATATAAACCCTTTTTCCTAGTTCCAACAGACCTCACTACCTCTGAGGATGCTTGCCATAGATGCAGGCAAAACGTCAGGAGAGAATGCCTCTAGACCATGGACATATAGCCTGAAAAAACCTACAACAACCCAGATAGAGAAAGGGTTGCAAAGAGAAAGAGAAAGGGTCGCAAAGAGATAGAGAAAGGGTTGCAAAGAGAAAGAGAAAGGGTCGCAAAGAGATAGAGAAAGGGTTGCAAAGAGAAAGAGAAAGGGTCGCAAAGAGATAGAGAAAGGGTTGCAAAGAGAAAGAGAAAGGGTCGCAAAGAGATGGGGAAAGGGTTGCAAAGAGAAAGAGAAAGGGTCGCAAAGAGATGGGGAAAGGGTTGCAAAGAGAAAGAGAAAGGGTCGCAAAGAGATAGAGAAAGGGTTGCAAAGAGAAAGAGAAAGGGTCGCAAAGAGATAGAGAAAGGGTTGCAAAGAGAAAGAGAAAGGGTCGCAAAGAGATGGGGAAAGGGTTGCAAAGAGAAAGAGAAAGGGTCGCAAAGAGATGGGGAAAGGGTTGCAAAGAGAAAGAGAAAGGGTCGCAAAGAGATAGAGAAAGGGTTGCAAAGAGAAAGAGAAAGGGTCGCAAAGAGATGGGGAAAGGGTTGCAAAGAGAAAGAGAAAGGGTCGCAAAGAGATGGGGAAAGGGTTGCAAAGAGAAAGAGAAAGGGTCGCAAAGAGATAGAGAAAGGGTTGCAAAGAGAAAGAGAAAGGGTCGCAAAGAGATGGGGAAAGGGTTGCAAAGAGAAAGAGAAAGGGTCGCAAAGAGATGGGGAAAGGGTTGCAAAGAGAAAGAGAAAGGGTCGCAAAGAGATAGAGAAAGGGTTGCAAAGAGAAAGAGAAAGGGTCGCAAAGAGATGGGGAAAGGGTTGCAAAGAGAAAGAGAAAGGGTCGCAAAGAGATAGAGAAAGGGTTGCAAAGAGAAAGAGAAAGGGTCGCAAAGAGATGGGGAAAGGGTTGCAAAGAAATGGAGAAAGGGTTGCAAAGAGAGAGAAGGAGTTGCAAAGAGAAAGGGAAAGGATGATGATTACAATTATATTTATATTCTGCTTTCCTCTGTTAAATGAGACTGAAGGCAGCTTGGAAAGGAGGCTCCTTCTTTGGAGGCTTTTAAGCAGAGGCTGGATGGTCATCTGTCAGGGCTGCTTTGAATGTGATTTTCCTGCCTTTTGGCAGAATGGGGTTGGACTGGATGGCCCTCGAGGTCTCCTCCAACTCTAGGATTCTATTATGTCTTTATTTGTATCCCATTTTATCTGTGATTGAGATGCAAAGCAGCTCACAATAATTAAAAAGAATACAATTTAAAATCTACAGCATACACATATCATCACCATCTTTATTGCTACCCTGCCTTTCTCCATGCCAGGTACAGAGAGAGCATTTCTAAGCAGACAAGGAGTGCAACTTGCACCCAGACTGAGACATTTTCTAGATTTTACCTTTGATTCCCATTTCCAAGTAGCTGCCTTTTCCTGGGAAAAAAAGAGAGAGAAAAAAGAGATACTATTTTTGGAGGAAATATACATTTCACCTAAATTTGGCATGTAGGAAAATGGCATTTCTCATTTGATAGTGACAACAGGCTTTAGGTTGGGGAAATCCAACACATAAATAAAGCAATCCATTAAATACAGTACAACAACAGATGGCTCTGGTTGCTTCTGGATCGAGAGAATCGGCCGTCTATGAAGATGTCGCCCAGGGGACGCCCGGATGTCTTGCAATCCTGCGAGGAGGCTTCTCTCTTTTTTTTCTTTTTTTCCCTTTTTAATCTCTGTGTTTGTTTTGCTCTGTTAGAACTGTAATGGTATGGTTGCTGATGACACAATAAATAAAATAACAGATGGTTCTATGAACTGGAATCTCCTGCCTCAGGTAATAGTGGGCCCTTCATCTTTGGGGTCCTTTAAATAAGGGTCAGGTAGTCATATTGCAGGAGGGTTTCACTTGGGTATTCCTTCCTGGCAGAAAGGGGCTGGACTAGATGTCCTTTGGTAGTACCTTCGCATGGCTTGAGAGTGTGAAAAAGATCGAATCCTCGTGGACAATAAGTTAAACATGAGCCAACAATGTGATGCAGTGGCAAAAAAAGCCAATGGGATTTTGGCCTGCATCAATAGGAGTCTAGGAAGAGGTGACCCTACACTGGAATGTGTCCAGAGGAGGGTAACTAAAATGATCAAAGGTCTGGAGAACAAGCCCTATGAGGAGCGGCTTAAAGAGCTGGGCCTGTTTAGCCTGAAGAAGAGAAGGCTGAGAGGAGACAGGATGAGGGCCAGGGATCAAGAGGTAAGGGGAAGTCCTAGGGAGGAGGGAGCAAGCTTCCTTTCTGCTGCCTTGGAGACTAGGATGCTTCAAACTACAAGGAAAAAGATTCCACCTGAACATGAGGAAGAACTTTTTGACTGTGAGAGCCGTTCAGCAGTGGAACTCTCTGCCCTGGAGTGTGGTGGTGGCTCCTCCTATGGAGGCTTTTAAACAGAGGCTGGATGGCCATCTGTTGGGGGTACTTTGAACAGATTTTCCTGCTTCTTGGCAGAATGGAGTTGGACTGGATGGCCCACCAGTTCTCTTCCAACTCCATGATTCTATGATTCTGCCATAAAGGAATCCATAACTTTGAGGGAGGCTCATGTCCAAAGGGAAAAGCCCAGTCCAGTTCTTTTGTCAGGGCTGAATAATAACATTATGTAACAAAATTTGAAACAAAAATATGTTCCTGGTTTGAAAGTGTTATTCCTGTTTCATTGTGTGGCTATTACTTTGAAAGTAGTTGTTGAAAGTAGAAGGCATGATCATCAAGTTTGCAGACGACACCAAATTGGGAAGGAGAGCCAATAGTCCAGAGGACAGGAGCAGGATTCAAAACGATCTTGACAGATTAGAGAGATGAATGGCCAAAACTAACACAATGAAGTTCAACAGTGACAAATGCAAGATACTCCACTCAGTCAGGAAAAACGAAATGCAAAGATACAGAATGGGGGACGATGAAGCCTGGCTCGAGAGCAGTACGTGTGAAAAAGATCTTGGAGTCCTCGTGGACAACAAGTTAAACATGAGCCAACAATGTGATGTGGCGGCAAAAAAAGCCAATAGGATTTTGGCCTGCATCAAGAGGAGCCTAGTGTCTAGGTCCAGGGAAGTCATGCTACCCCTCTATTCTGCTTTGGTTAGACCACACCTGGAATATTGTGTCCAATTCTGGGCACCACAATTCAAGAGAGATATTGACAAGCTGGAATGTGTCCAGAGGAGGGCCACTAAAATGATCAAGGGTCTGGAGAACAAGCCCTATGAGGAGCGGCTTAAGGAGCTGGGCATGTTTAGCCTGAAGAAGAGAAGGCTGAGAGGAGATATGATAGCCATTTATAAATATGTGAGAGGAAGCCACAGGGAGGAGGGAGAAACCTTGTTTTCTGCTTCCCCGGAGACTAAGATGCTGGAACAATGGCTTCAAACTACAAGAGAGGAGATTCCATCTGAACATTAGGAAGGACTTCCTGACTGTGAGAGCCGTTCAGCAGTGGAACTCTCTGCCCCGGAGTGTGGTGGAGGCTCCTTCTTTGGAAGCTTTTAAGCAGAGGCTGGATGGATCTGTCAGGGGTGATTTGAATGCAATATTCCTGCTTCTTGGCAGGGGGCTGGACTGGATGGCCCATGAGGTCTCTTTCAACTCTTTGATTCTAGGATTCTATGTTCTGCCCCAGTAACTTTATTAACACTCTGGGCTTTAGTCTGAACTTTGAAAGAGCAGTTAACACTGATGCTCGTATTCTATGGAAAGGAGCTTTCCAAGGTGCTGAACCTGGTTTGGGGAGGTTATGCCCAGAGCCTTGGAGATCTCCTTATACTGTGACTAGAATTGAATCACTGAGGGTGCACCTACACTGTGGAATGAATACAGTGCGACCCTACTTGAACTGTCATGGCTCAAGGCTAGGGGATCCTGGGAGTTATAGTTTCACAAGGTCTTTAGTTTTCTCAGTTCAATCATCTAGATCGGGCATGGGCAAACTTGGGCCCTCCAGGTGTTTTGGACTCCAACTCCCACAATTCCTAACAGCTTCAGACCCTTTCCTTTTCCCCCTCAGCAGCTTAAGCATTTGAAATATTTGGAAAGGAAGATGAATGTAGACTTAGGGGAATTGTGATGTGGCAACTCCTGGTGAAGGAAGCAGGGCGTGGCACCCATCATCATACACCGGAAGTCATGGGTGGTGGGTTCACGAGAGGGGAGACATTGGATAGAATATTGTAATGTATCTGTTTGTATTAGAGGTATCTCTCTCTCTCTCTCTTTTTAAAATACATTTTATTAGGGTTTTCAATTGTAAAAGTAACGCGGGCCTTATATGCCAAGGCATTTCATGTTTTCTTGAGTTGGAGTGATTTTTTTAAAGGCTTGTGTTGTAAACAGAAAATTCTGTTTTATGCTTAGATATTGGGTTAATTTGTCAATATTTGTATTTTACTCTCTTTAGATGTTTCTCCTTTTTATATTTTGTATCCCACTAACTTTACTTAATAAAAATACTATTTTAAAAAAACCAATATAATTAAACACGCAAAAAAGATCAATGCCAACATATAATTAATCCATTGACAACCTCAGAAAAAGATGAATGACCCACTATTATCTGAGGCAGGAGATTCCAGTTCGTAGAGCCATCTGTTTTTCCTAATCATGAGGTGGAATCTCTTATCTTGCAATTCACAGAATGATAGATTTGGAAGGGATCCTTAAGGGCCATCTAATCCAACAGTCAGGAAGTTTTTCCTAATGTCCAGGTGGAATCTCCTTCCTTTCCTGTAGTCAGAAGCCATTGCTCCACGTCCTAGTCTCCACGGCAGCAAAAAACAATCCTGCTCCCTCTTCCCTATGACTTCCCCTCACATATGTATACATGGCTATCATGTCTCCTCTCGGTCTTCTCTTCTGAGGTTGGACTTTGGGGGTTGGACTAGATGGCCTTTGGGAGACCCTTCCCATTTGAAGATTCTATAATAACAGAACAATCACTTTGGAGTCTCCTTCTTTGGAGGTCTCTAAACAGAGGTGGTAAACACCAGCGCATTGGTTGGCTGCCCCTCGTTTTGGCCTCTACACCTCTATTTTACTGAGGCACCAGGGAGCATGGTTTTGGGTTCGGTTCCTGCCCGGCTCCGGTGGTGGAGACAGTGGGCCTGGCACCGTCCATTCTGGATCTCTGACTCCATTTTCTGGAACATGGAGTCCTCCCGTTTGCCTTGCTTTGCTGGAACGCCAATTGGGTCTGTGAGTATCGAATTGGACGGTGCAATGGAAACTCGCGTGATACGTGTTTTTCTCTTTTTTTCCCCTTTTCTTTTGGGGGATCGGCCTTTGTTCCAAGAAGGGCTGCAGCCAAGGAACTGGGATGGAAAATAACAAGGCAATTTGCTACCAAATTTAAGAGTAATGGAGGAAGAGTCAGATCAGGTCAGGCTCTGGGCTTGGAAAAGCGACTGCTCCTGGGGCGCATCTACACTGGAAAGTTAATGCACTTTGGCACCACTTGAACCGCCGTGCCCCAATGCTATGGAGTTGTCATTTTATAAATATACTAGCCGTCCCCTGCCACGCATTGCTGTGGCCCACATGGGGGTTCTGTGTGGGAGGTTTGGCCCAATTCTATCGTTGGTGGGGTTCAGAATGCTCTGTGATTGTAGGTGAACTATAAATCCCAGCAACTACAACTCCCAAATGTCAAGGTCTATTTTCCCCAACTCCACCAGTGTTCACATTTGGGCATAATGAGTATTTGTGCCAAGTTTAGTCCATATCCATCACTGAGTGCACTGTGCTCTCTGGATGTAGGTGAACTACAACTCCTAAAACTCAAGGTCAATGCTCACCAAACCCTTCTTGTGCTTTCTGTTGGTCATAGGAGTCCTGTTATGCCACGTTTGGTTCAATTCCATCATTGATGGGGTTCAGAATGCTCTGTGATTGTAGGTGAACTATAAATCCCAGCAACTACAACTCCCAAATGTCAAGATTCTATTTTCCCCAAACTCCACCAGTGTTCACATTTGGGCATATTGAGTATTTATGTAGAGTTTGGTCCAGATCCATCATTGTTTGAGTCCACAGTGATCTTTGGATGTAGGTGAACTACAACTCCAAAACCAAAGGACACTGCCCACCAAACCCTTCCAGTATTTTCTGTTGGTCATGGGAGAACTGTGTGCCAAGTTTGGTTCAATTCCATTGTTGGTGGGGTTCAGAATGTTCTTTGATTGTAGGTGAACTATAAATCCCAGCAACTACAACTCCCAAATGACAAAATCAATTTTTTTTTAGTGAAGGACATAGACTGGGTTGTTAGGTGTCTTGTGTCCAAATTTGTTGTCAATTCGTCCAGTGGTTTTTGAGTTCTGTTAATACCACAAACGAACATAACATTATTATTTATATACTAGCCGTCCCCTGCCAGGAGTTGCTGTGGCCCAGTCTGGTTTCTAATATATGTAACTTCTTTATGCTTGTGGGTCAACAGTATTTCTTGTTGTGTCTTTGCTAGTGTTGATGTGGAGATTGTCTGGTTTGCCTACTCTGAATGCAACAGATCATTGTCCTTCTTTAGGGGTCCCTTTCAAATCTATAATACTATATCTCTGTGTGTGTGAATCATATATATCTATCTATATCTATGGCTGGATGGCTCTTGTCAGGAGGGCTTTGATTACGTTTTCTTGCCCTGGTGAAGGGAGTTGGACTGGATGGCTTTAAGTATTTTCTGTTGGTCATGGGGTTCTGTGTGGGAAGTTTGCCCCAATTCTGTCATTGGTGGGGTTCAGAATGCTCTTTGATTGTAGGTGAACTATAAATCCCAGTAACTACAACTATCCAAATATCAAGGTCTATTTTTCCCAAAATCCATCTCTGTTCATATTTGGGCAAATGGAATATTCGTGGCAAGTTTGGTCCAGATCCATCATTGTTTGAGTCTACAGTGCTCTCTGGATGTAGGTGAACTATGTTGCAGGATATGGATTTGTATATTAAGTTTTGACAAGGATCATCTCCTATGTGGGTGTGTGTTGAGGAAGAACACCTGGACACTGAAGCAATTAAGTGTGAGCCACTCCCTGATTAGTGTATATCAGGTGAAGTCTTTCTTGATGTATTCAGTGAGTGAGATGGTGTGTGTGAGAGAGAGGAGGTCTGATCAGATGATCAGAGACCGGATGGGACTACACTACAAGAATTGCTGACTATTTACCAAGAAAGAAGCAGATAATGCATGTATTTAATGCATTGACTTTGTAAGTTATTTTTTCTGCAATGGACAATGTATATTTCCAAGGCTGGTGTGTTTTCTTTGTAAAGCTGCATATTTGACTACTCAAGAGTAAAAGTTATTTTTTCCTTCTACTCTGTGTGATTCAACTTAAGGGCTGGAGCTGGGAAGACTGCTGGGTAGCTTCCGTATAGACTAGTAAACTGCATCAGGTTACAATTCCAAAACTCAAGGTCAATGCCCACCAAACCCTTTCAGTATTTTCTGTTGGTCATTGGAGTTCTGTGTGCCAATTTGGTTCAATTCCATTGTTGGTGGAGTTCAGAATGCTCTTTGATTGTAGGTGAACTATAAATCCCAGCAACTACAACTCCCAAATGACAAAATCATAATTTTTTGAGTGATGGTCACTCCTTGTGTAGTGAGATGTTTTGTTGCCAAATTTGGTGTGATTTAGTTCATTGGTTCTTTTGTTTTTAAGGTACTCATTATGTACAGAGCATTTTTAGATAGATTCATAGATTCATAGATTCATAGATTCATAGATTCATAGATTCATAGATTCATAGATGATGGAAGGTGGAAGGTGGAAGGTGGAAGGTGGAAGGTGGAAGGTGGAAGGTGGAAGGTGGAAGGTGGAAGGTGGAAGATGGATGGATGGATGGATGGATGGATGGATGGATGGATGGATGGATGGATGGATAGATGGATAGATGGATAGATGGATAGATGGATAGATGGATAGATGGATAGATGGTAGATGGATAGATGGATAGATGGATAGATGGATAGATGGATAGATGGATAGATGGATAGATGGATAGATGGATAGATGGATAGATGGAATGGATAGATGGATAGATGGAGAGGCATACCTGTAGGTGGTGATGTATTTGGTGGGAAGGAAGGTCTCGACGCTGGAGGCCCAGAAGCAGGAGAAGTTCTCATAGTCGGAAGCCTGGCACGAAATGGAAGGCATCTCTGGAAGTCCTGCCAAGAAGTGGAGGAAAGGGGGCATGTTTAGCCTGAAGAAGAGAAGGCTGAGAGGAGACATGAGAGCCATGTATAAATATGTGAGAGGAAGCCACAGGGAGGAGGGAGCAAGCTTGTTTTCTGCTTCCCTGGAGACTAGGATGCGAACAATGGCTTCAAACTACAAGAGAGGAGATTCCATCTGAACATGATGAAGAACTTCCTGACTGTGAGAGCCGTTCAGCAGTGGAACTCTCTGCCCGGAGGGAGTGTGGTGGAGGCTCCTTCTTTGGAAGCTTTTAAACAGGGGCTGGATGGCCACTTGTCAGGGGTGCTTTGAATGCAATATTCCTGCTTCTTGGCAGAATGGGGTTGGACTGGATGATGGCCCAGGAGGTCTCTTCCAACTCTTTGATTCTATGATTCTATTTGGGCACAAAGTCTACACACATCTATAATGGGATTAGGGAAGGCACTGGATAGCGTTGTATGGTGTACAACGACAATAAAGTTATTCTATTCTAAATGTCATGTTCCTGGGTGGCATTCGGGGCTGTGCAATAGTGATTAGAATGTGGAAGGGTGGTCTGAGTCCCTTTACGGAGGTTGAGAAGACCGGGATATACATTTTTTAAATAAATAAATAAGGACGGGTGTTTTGTTTTTGTAATTCTACATATATAATGCGTATTTGGGGTGGCCTTTAATTTTGTTGCACCATCTATTTATTTATTTACTTACTTACTTACTTACTTTACTTCTATACCGCTGTTCTCAGCCCAGAGGCGACTCACGGCGGTTCACAAGACACAGAACACAGCAAAATTCAATGCACCAATATAAAAAACAGTTAATAACCTAATCTAATACACAGTTAATACACAATTACTATAACAACTGTTCATTAGGTCTCATCACTAAAACATGATCCAGATTCGTCATCCATTGTTCCATTCCTATGTCATTACCAGTCATTGCACTAATTATTCGAACGCCTGCACAAACAGCCAGGTCTTCACTTTTTTGCGGAATACCATTAGAGATGGTGCTAGTCTAATGTCCGTGGGAAGGGCGTTCCACAGCCGAGGAGCCACCACCGAGAAGGCCCTATCTCTCGTCCCCGCCAGCCGTGCTTGAGAAGCAGGCGGGATCGAGAGCAGGGCCTCCCCGGAAGATCTCAAAGTCTTGGTGGGTTCATAGGCAGAGATGCGGTCAGATAGGTAGCTTGGGCCGGAACCGTTTAGGGCTTTAAAGGCCAACGCCAGCACTTTGAATTCAGCCCGGTAGCAGATCGGTAGCCAGTGGAGTTGACGCAACAGGGGGGTTGTATGCTCCCTGCGCTCCGCTCCTGTTAAAATCATGGCTGCCGAGCGTTGGACTAGTTGGAGCTTCCGAGCCGTCTTCAAAGGCAACCCCACGTAGAGAGCGTTGCAGTAGTCTAAACGGGATGTAACCAGATCGTGGACTACCGTGGCCAAGTCAGACTTCCCAAGGTACGGGCGCAGCTGGCGCACAAGCTTTAGCTGTGCAAATGCTCCCCTGGTCACCGCCGAAACCTGGGGTTCCAGGCTCAGCGATGAGTCCAGGGTCACACCCAAGCTGCGAACCTGCGTCTTCAGGGGGAGTGCGACCCCATCCAACACAGGCTGTAACCCTATGCCCTGTTCTACAATGTTCTAACCTGCACCATCTACAATGACAATAAAGTTATTCTATCCTATTCTATTCTATGGAGTGTTTGCCCAAAGGGGGGGTCTGAGGAACCCTCTCCTTCCCATCTCGCCCTCACCCCACAGACACACACACATTGGGGTCCCCCTCCCAAAGCCCTCCAGATCCACAAGGCTTACGTCCGAGGCGGAGAGTGGTGGAGCCGAGGAGAGACCCTCCGGCGTCATGGCAGCTGTAGAGTCCCTCGGTGTTGCGCTGGGCTTGTAGCAGGAAGAGTTGCCCCTGATGGACCTCAGACCCTTCGGGGAGGATTGGGGCCCCGTTCCAGTGCCAGGTGATGGGGGAGCTGCAGGAGAAGGAGAAAGAAGGTGCCCTGAGGCCCTACCTGGCAAGGAAAGGAGATCCCACCTGAAACACCAGGAAGAACCTCCTGACCGTAGGAAGAGATGTTCAACAGTGGAACTCTCTGCCCTGGAGTGTTGACAAGGCTGCTTCTTTGGAGGCTTTTAAACAGAGGCTGGATGGCTATCTGTCGGGGGTGCTTTCATTATAAAATTCGGGAAAAAATCTGCTACCAGTATTAAAAAACTCTAAAATTACAACAGCACAACAACAGAGAGGAAACAAACAAGGACATCTAATCACCTCTCAACAAAGGTTTGCTCCAGGCACTGTCAGGCCATTATATGCTAATCAAGGTGGTCAGTTGAAACATTCACACCTAGCTCCACCAGACAAGAGTCCTTTGTCCCACCCTGGTCCTTCCACAGATATATAAACTCTTTTTCCTAGTTCCAACAGACCTCACAACCTCTGAGGATGCTTGCCACAAATGCAGGCGAAACGTCAGGAGAGAATGCCTTTAGACCATGGCCATATAGCCCAAAAAAACCTACAACAACCCAATCTGTTCCTGGTTTGAAAATGTTATTTCCTTATGAAACTATTGCCCTCCCAACCCTGCTCTATGTCTGAGAAACATGGACTGTCTACAGATTTCAACATTGACACTGAAATACAACACCGCCTGAGCTCTGCGAGTGCAGCATTTTTCCGAATGAAGCACAGAGTGTTTGAGGACTGGGACAGTCGTAGGGAGACAAAGGTGCTTGTTTATAAAGCTATTGTCCTCCCAATCCTGCTATATGTCTGTGAAACGTGGACTGTCTACAGACATTACATGAAAGTCCTGGAACGATTCCATCAGCACTGCCTCCAGAAAATCCTGCAAATCTCTTGGGAAAAAGACAGGCGGACAAATGTCAGCATGCTATGAGAAGAAGCAAAGACCACCAGCATGGAAGCAATGCTCCTCTCCATCAACTCTGCTGGACCGGCCACATTGTCCGAATGCCCAAAATCACTGTCTCCCAAAGCAGTTGCTTTACTCTGATCTCAAGAACAGAAAACAGGATGATGGTGGACAGGAAAAGACATTCAAAGATGGGATCAAAGTCAACCTCAAAAACTGCACCATAGACACTGAGAACTGGGAAGCCCTGGCCTTGAGTGCTCTAACTGGAGGTCAGCTGTGACCAGCAGTGATGTAGCATTCAAAGAGGCACGAATGGAGAGTGAAAGGGAGAAACGTGCCAAGGAGGAAGGCACGTCAAGCCAACCCCAACCGGGACCGCCTTCCACCTGGAAACCAATGCCCACACTGCGGAAGAAGATGCAGAGCAAGAATAGGGCTCCACAGCCACATGCGGACCCACAAGGAAACCCATAATGGAAGACCATCTTTCTCATCCAACGAGGGATCGAGAATCTAAATCTGGTTTACTAGGTTCTTGTGGGTTTTTTCTGGCTATAGAGCCATGTTCTAGAGGCATTTCTCCTGACGTTTCGCCTGCATCTATGGCAAGCATCCTCAGAGGTTGAGAAGGTCTGTTGGAAGTAGGAAAAATGGGCTTATATATCTGTGGAATGGCTGGGATGGGGCAAAGTCTAAACACAACATACAAACAATCTACAAACCCACCAAGAAAATCCAACAAATGCTACGTTCAGCAAAGGACAAGAGGGATCCTCTCACCTCTGCAGGAGTCTACCGTATACCATGCAGCTGTGGACAAGTCTACATAGGGACCACCAAACGCAGCATTGCCCAGACACGCATCAAGGAACATGAAAGGCACTGCAGACTACTTCAACCAGAGAAGTCAGCCATAGCAGAGCACCTGATGAACCAGCCTGGACACAGCATATTATTTGAGAACACAGAAATGCTGGACCACACCAAAACCACCATGTCAGACTACACAGAGAAGCCATTGAAATCCACAAGCATGTGGACAATTTAAACAGAAAGGAAGAGACCATGAAAATGAACAAAATCTGGCTACCAGTATTAAAAAACTCTAAAATTATAACAGCTAAACAACAGAGAGGAAAAAACCAGGCACAGATTAACACCTCCCAGCAACAGATTTTCCCAGACTCAGGCAGGCCTTCAAATGCTAATGAAGGTGATCAGCTAAACATTCACACCTAACTGCAGCAGGGAAGAGCTCCTTGCCCCACCCCAGCCATTCCACAGATATATAAACCCATTTTTCCTAATTCCAACAGACCTCACTACCTCTGAGGATGCTTGCCATAGATGCAGGCGAAACGTCAGGAAAAATGCCTCTAGAACATGGCCATATAGCCCGAAAAAACCCACAAGAACCTAGTGATTCCAGCCATGAAAGCCTTCGACAATAAATTAATAATAATATTTTAATCTTTATCCTGCTTTTATCTCTTGACCAAGATGGAAAGTGGTCCACATTAGGAAAGGAAAGGTCATAGACAGGGTCACCCTCTCAGCTCCTGCTGCTCCCCATACCAGTGTCCTTTGGGGTCCACCTGCCCTGTCCTACAATATTTCCCCCCTAAACTAGCACTAGGTGCATTGCAGAAATCCCCAAACTGTGAACAGCACGTAGATTTTCCCCAAAGCACCTACCTGGGACTTCCTCCGGCACAGGTCAGGGTCACATCCTTCCCTATCTGGCCATAGGTCACCCCTGGAAGAGAAGAGGCCCACAAGCGTAAGACACACGGATGCCTTGCCCTTTCCCCGCCCTTTAGAGGAAACCTCTGGATTCTGGAGGGGTTTTTTAATTGAGCAGAAAGGAAGTCATCCCGGGTATTTTGCACACACAAACCTATCCCACCTCATTGACCTCCCTTTTTGCCATGAAATCAAGCCAAGTCACAGAAATGATGAATGGCCGTCCCTGCTATATATTTATTTATTTATTTAAAACACTAGCCGTCCCCTGCCAGACGTTGCTGTGGCCCAGTCTGTTGATCTGGAAAATAAATAATGAGAAAGTGTTGGTTTCTAATATATGTAATTTCTTTATGCTTGTGGGTAAACAGTATTTCTTGCTGTTTCTTTGTCAGTGTTGATGTGGAGAGTGTCTGGTTTGCCTACTCTGGAACATGCAACATATAATTGTCCTTCTTCAGGGGTCCCTTTCAAATCTAGGATACTATATCTCTCTGTGTGTGAATCATATCATACTATATGTCTCTCCGTGTGTGAATTGTATCTATCTATCTATATCTATGGCTGGATGGCTCTTTGTCAGGAGGGCTTTGATTACGTTTTCTTGCCCTTGTGAAGGGAGTTGGACTGGATGGCCTTAAGTATTTTCTGTGGGTCATGGGGGTTCAGTGTGGGAAATTTGCCCCAATTCTGTCGTTGGTGTTTGCATGCTGCAAGTCGTCTCTGGTTGCTTCTGGATCGAGAAAATCAGCCGTCTACGAAGTGTGGAGAAGAGCAAACCACTGACCACCTGCTGCAATGCACCCTGAGCCCTGCCACATGCACGATGGAGGACCTCTTTGCAGCAACACCAGAGGCACTCCAAGTGGTCAGAGACTGGTCAAAGGACATTTAATCAACTACCAAGTCTGCAAAATTTGTGTGTGTGTTTTTTATCTGTTTGTTTGTTTTGTTCTGTTAGAAATGTAATACAATGTTCTGGTTGCGGATGACACGATAAATAAATAAACGGTTCTGGTCCAAGTTACCTATCCGAACGCATCTCCACCTACGAACCCACCAGGACTCTAAGATCTTCTGGGGAGGCCCTGCTCTCGATCCCACCTGCATCACAGGCACGTTTGGCGGGGACGAGGGACAGGGCCTTCTCAGTGGTGGCCCCTTGGCTGTGGAACGCCCTTCCCATGGACATTAGATCGGCCCCCTCGTTAATGGTGTTTCGAAAAAAACTGAAAACCTGGCTATTTGAACAGGCGTTTGGTTAAGCAGTGCAATGAATATAGGAAAACGGAATTACGGATGACGAGTTGGATTCCACTTTGTGCCCCCATTTCTGAAGGTTGGCTCTGCATCTCGTGGTGCCAGAGCGCAGTCTGTTCAGCGCCTTCCAAGTCGCCCAGTCTTCTGTGTGCCCAGGGGGGAGTCTCTCATCTGGTATCAGCCATTGATTGAGGTGCTGGGTTTGAGCCTGCCACTTTTGGACTCTCGCTTGCTGGGTGTTCCAGCGAGTGTCTCTGTAGATCTTAGAAAACTATTTCTTGATTTAAGTCGTTGACGTGCTGGCTGATACCCAAACAAGGGATGAGCTGGAGATGTCTGCCTTGGTCCTTTCACTATTGGCTGCTACTTCCCGGCGGATGTCAGGTGGTGCAATACCGGCTAAGCAGTGTAATTTCTCCAGTGGTGTGGGGCGCAGACACCCTGTGAACTATAAATCCCAGCAACTACAACTCCCAAATGACAAAACCAATTTTTCTGAGTGAAGAACATACAATGGCCTGAGAGGTGTCTTGTGTCCAAATTTGGTGTCAATTCGTCCAGTGGTTTTTGAGTTCTGTGAATACCACAAATGAATGTGACATTTTTATTTATATAGATGTATATTCCGCCCTTCTCACCCCGACTCAGGGGACTCAGGGTGGAGCACAACGTAGATACGGCCAACATTCAATGCCGGGACACAAATCCATATGCCTCCGGACGGATGTCTCCTTGGAGTCGGTCACTCACCTTCCTCGCCCCACTCTCCGGACATAGTGATGGACGTGGTCACCAGGACGGCTGCCAAGAGGACCCCCACTCTGCTCAGGCAGGAGGCGAGGCTCGGCATCTGGAGCGGGGAAGGAAACAGGAGATTACTTAGCAGATGTGGAGCATTTGAACCCCTTCCCCTATTTCTTTTAATTATCCATCCATCCATCTATCCAAAGCAATTACAGTCAGCCCCCAAGTTACTAACAAGATTAACACCTCTCAACAGGGGATTTTCCCAGTCTCAGCCAGGCCTTCAAATGCTAATGAAGGTGGTCAGTTGAAACATTCAAACCTGGGTCCAGCAGACAAGCGTCCTTTGTCCCACCCTGGTCTTTCCACAGATATATAAACCCATTGTACTAATTCCAACAGACCTCACTACCTCTGAGGATGCTTGCCACAGATGCAGGCGAAACATCAGGAGAGAATGCCTCTAGAACATGGCCATATAGCCCGGAAAAACCCACAAGAACCTATTAACAAGATCGATTCTGTAGTGTCGAAGGCTTTCATGGCTGGAATCACTGGGTTGTTGTAGGTTTTTTTCGGGCTGTATGGCCATGGTCTAGAGGCATTCTCTCCTGACCTTTCGCCTGCATCTATGGCAAGCATCCTCAGAGGTAGTGTTTGGGCAATGCTGCTGCGTTTGGTGGTCCCTATGTAGACTTGTCCACAGCTGCTGGACCACTCTCACAACCACAGAGAAGCCATTGAAATACACAAGCATGTTACGAAGCATGTTACTGCTGGACCACTCTCACAGAGAAGCCATTGAAATACACAAGCATGTTACGAAGGTGGAGGCATTACTTTTCATTCAACCTTTGTAATAATGGCAAACCAAAACAAATGCAATACTCTCAAGGTTGCTGCAAGACCCCAGTAACCTAGGAATCTTGTAGCAACCTTGAGACTAAACTTCAAGTGTTGCCAAACTGCATTAATTCTACAGTGTAGATGCGCCCAATAGACTTACGTCTACTTCCTAAGACATTTCTCCCATTGAATCTCAAACATTCCCTTGTATGCATTGCCAATAGAGACCAAGGTGGTTTTGAACTATGCAAAACATACAAGAAGTGAACATTAAAGTGGAATTGAGCAAACAAGAACTTCTTAAACTTTTTAATAGAAGTCACAATGACACGAATAAGAATAGTTTTTTTTAAAAAAATTCAATTATTTTCTAAATCCCCAAAGCCAATGTTATATTTTATATACAGGGTGCTATATTACTAGGCGACTGTATATAATGGGACTTGGAAGATCCATATAGATCTTAAAGACCTTCATCTATATAAATAAAAATGTAATGTTCATTTGTAAAATTAACATAACTCAAAAACCACTGGACAAATTAACACGAAATTTGGACAAGACACACCTGACACAACGAGTGACCATCACTCATACCCCCCCCCAAAAAAAAACAGTAGAAAGGACTTAAAAACCCAAAAAAAAAGCTAAATGACAATACAAAAAAAGAAGAGGGAAGGAAGGGGAGAAAGAGGGAGGGAAAGAAAGAAAGAAAGAAAGAAAGAAAGAAAGAAAGAAAGAAAGAAAGAAAGAGAAAAGGAGGAGAGAAAGAGGGAGGGAAAGAAAGAAGGAAGCATGGAAGCAAAGAGCGAAGGAAGGAAGGAGAGAAGGAAGAAAGGAGAGAAAGAGAAAGGAAACGACAAAGCGGGAAGGAAAGAAAGAGATAGAGAAGGAAGGAAAGAGAGAAGGACAGAAAAAAGGAAAGGAAGGAACGAGAGAGTGAAGGAAGGAGGGAGAGAAGCATAAAAAAGAGGGAGGGAAGGAAAGAAGGGAAGAGAGAAGGAAGGATGAAAGCAAAGAGCTAAGGAAGGAAGGAAAGGTAGAGAAGAAAGAAAGGAGAGAAAGGGGAAGGAAAATAAAAAGGGGGAAGGAAAGAAAGAGGTAGAGAAGGAAGGAAGGAGAGAAGGAAAGAAATAGGGAAAGGAAGGAAAGAGATAGTGAAGGAAGGAAAGAAGCAGAAAAAGAGGGAGGAATAGAAAGAAGGAAAGAGAGAAGGAAGGAAGCGAAAAGCAAAGGAAGGAAAGTGGTAGAGAAGGAAGAAAGGAGAGAAAGAGGAAGGAAAAGAAAAAGGAGGAAGGAAAGAAAGAGGTAGGGAAGGAAGGAAGGAAGACAGAAAAAAAGAAAGGAAAGAAAGAGGGAGCGAAGGAAGGAGGGAAAAAGGAAAGGAAGGAAAGAGAGAGCGAAGGAAGGAGGGAAAGAAGCATTAAAAAAGAGGGAGGGAAGGAAAGAAGGGAAGAGAGAAGGACAAAGAGCGAAGGAAGGAAGGAAAGAGGTAGAGAAGGAAGAAAGGAGAGAAAGAGGAAGGAAAAGAAAAAGGAGGAAGGAAAGAAAGAGGTAGAGAAGGAAGGAAGGAGAGAAGGAAAGAAATAGGGAAAGGAAGGAAAGAGATAGTGAAGGAAGGAAAGAAGCAGAAAAAGAGGGAGGAATAGAAAGAAGGAAAGAGAGAAGGAAGGAAGCGAAAAGCAAAGGAAGGAAAGTGGTAGAGAAGGAAGAAAGGAGAGAAAGAGGAAGGAAAAGAAAAAGGAGGAAGGAAAGAAAGAGGTAGAGAAGGAAGGAAGGAGAGAAGGAAAGAAATAGGGAAAGGAAGGAAAGAGATAGTGAAGGAAGGAAAGAAGCAGAAAAAGAGGGAGGAATAGAAAGAAGGAAAGAGAGAAGGAAGGAAGCGAAAAGCAAAGGAAGGAAAGTGGTAGAGAAGGAAGAAAGGAGAGAAAGAGGAAGGAAAAGAAAAAGGAGGAAGGAAAGAAAGAGGTAGAGAAGGAAGGAAGGAGAGAAGGAAAGAAATAGGGAAAGGAAGGAAAGAGATAGTGAAGGAAGGAAAGAAGCAGAAAAAGAGGGAGGAATAGAAAGAAGGAAAGAGAGAAGGAAGGAAGCGAAAAGCAAAGGAAGGAAAGTGGTAGAGAAGGAAGAAAGGAGAGAAAGAGGAAGGAAAAGAAAAAGGAGGAAGGAAAGAAAGAGGTAGGGAAGGAAGGAAGGAAGACAGAAAAAAAGAAAGGAAAGAAAGAGGGAGCGAAGGAAGGAGGGAAAAAGGAAAGGAAGGAAAGAGAGAGCGAAGGAAGGAGGGAAAGAAGCATTAAAAAAGAGGGAGGGAAGGAAAGAAGGGAAGAGAGAAGGAAGGATGGAAGCAAAGAGCTAAGGAAGGAAGGAAAGGTAGAGAAGGAAGAAAGGAGAGAAAGGGGAAGGAAAATAAAAAGGGGGAAGGAAAGAAAGAGGTAGAGAAGGAAGGAGAGAAGGAAATAAATAAGGAAAGGAAAGAAAGAGGGAGCAAAGGAAGTAAATAAGATGCCACTTTGGTGTAGTTCCCTCTCTCTGCCACTAGAGGGAGGTCGCCTATTGAGACTGGCATCTCCTTTAAATAACATTAACACAATCTTGCTTCCTATGCAAAGCTCCATTCTTCCTTTCTCTTTTTCCTTTCTTTCCTATTTACTCTCTCCTTCTCTCTCTGGCTGCACCAACACCATAGAATTATTGCAGTTCCACACCACTTTAATTACCATGTCCCAAGGCTAGAGAATCGTGGGAGTTGTAGTTTCACAAGATCCTTTGCCTTCTCTGCCAAGGAGTGGTCCCTGCAACAAAACAACTACAACTCCCAGGATTATGTAGCATTTTATAGTGGTGTCAAACTGCATTCATTCTAGTGTAGATGCACCTATAACAAGGAGGGAAAACCAAGTTAGGGGTGCATCTACACTATGGAATTAGCACAGTTTGACATCCCTTTAATTACTACAATTCAGTGCTATAGAATGATAGGAATGGTACTTTGGTAGCAAAGGCAAAATACCTTTTAGAACTGCAGCTCCCAGGATTGCCTCAATGCTTTGGAATCCTGGGAGTTGTAGTTTGCTAAGGCTTTAAAAACCACAATTCCCAGGACCCTGTTGCATTGAGCCATGGAAGTTTAAAGCAGTGTCAAACTGCATTAAATCTGTAGTGTAGATGTACCCTGGGGTGCTATTGGTCTGTGTTGCCACCCAACCGAACCTCAGCTAAAGGGACTTACTTATTTATTTATTTTCGTGTCAGGAGTGACTTGAGAAACTGCAAGTCGCTTCTGATGTGAGAGAATTGGCTGTCTGCAAGGACATTGCCCAGAGAACATTGCCCAGATCTTTTGATATTTTATCATCCTTGTGGGAGGTTTCTCTCATGTCCCCACATGGGGAGCTGGAGCTGACAGAGGGAGCTCAAGCACGCTCTCACCAAAGGGACTTGCTTAATTATTATTTTTTGTGTGTCAAAAGCAACTTGAGAAGCTGCAAGTCGCTTCTGGTGTGAGAGAATTGGCTGTCTTCAAGGATGTTGTCCAGGGGACATTGCCTGGATATTTTGACGTTTTATCATCCTTGTGGGAGACTTCTCTCATGTCCATGCATAGGGAGCTGGAGCTGACAGAGGGAGCTCAACTGTGTTCTCCCCAAAGGGAGAACACAATTTTTTTTTTCGTATCAGGAGTGACTTGAGAAGCTGCAAGTTGCTTCTGGTGTGAGAGAATTGGGTGTCTGCAAGGACGTTGCCCAGGGGACATTGCCTGGATATTTTGATGTTTTATCATCCTTGTGGGAGGCTTCTCTCATGTCCCCGCATGGGGAGCTGGAGCTGATAGAGGGAGCTCATCCACGCTATCCCTGGATTCGAACCTCCAACTTTCCTAATGTTCTTTAATGATAGATTCAGGGCTGTCAGCAAAAGAAAATAAAGCTTTCTAAAGATTAGGACTGAGTATAGGAGTCTAGTGCCTAGATCTAGGGAAGTCATGCTCCCCATGCTCTATTCCGCCTTGGTTAGACCACACCTGGAATATTGTGTCCCATTCTGGGCATCACAATTGAAGGGCGATGTTGACAAGCTAGAATGTGTCCAGAGGAAGAGGGAGACTCAAATGATCAAGGGTCTGGAGGAGCCTATGAGGAGCGGCTTAAAGAGCTGGGCATGTTTAGCCTGAAGAAGAGAAAGCTGAGAGGAGATATGATGATAGCCATGTATAAATATGTAAGAGGAACTCCTCAACAGATGGCAGTTCTGGTATGCGGCAGG